AACGGCGACTAGGGTGTCCACGATGCTAGCTTGACCGCAGTCAGTTGCTAGGGCGTGTGGACTCGGGCTCGGAGCTGGGCTGGGCTGGCTCGGAGGGCGTGCAGCTGGGGCTGGTGCGGGGGCAGGGGCTGCAGCTGGGGCTGGGGCTGGGGAGGGGCTGCAGCTGGGGCTGGGGAGGGGCTGCAGCTGGGGCTGGTGCAGGAGCAGGGGCTGCAGCTGGGGCTGGAGGAGAGGCTGCACCTGTGGGAGGGGCTGGGGCTGGAGTGGGCGCTGCAGTTGGGGGAGGGGCTGGCACTGCTCTGAGATTTTCATCCTCTGCAGGACTCTGGTTAACTCTGAGGGGCAAAGAGTCTGAAGGAGACGAGGTCAGAAGAGTTGGGGATACAGCTAAGAGACCTTGGTGGGGATGTGCTGTGGATGGGGAAGCTGAGGGTGGGAGGGGTTTAGAGATGCATGGAGGGGGCGAGACTAAGGGGCTCCGGAAAGGGGTGCAGCTGCGGATGTCTGGAGCTAGCTTAGCTCTGTCGGAACCACCAGCCACCTGACCTTGCAGGGATCTTCTCCCTTCGATGCTGTGGCCTCCTCGCTTGTTTGTCCCTCCAGGCCCTGAACTGAAGACAGTGTCGTCTCCAGAGCCATTAGCCCCAGCTTCTCCCACGTTGCAGGCCTCTGTGGTCCCCTGCCCTTGGGACAAGAGTGGGCGTCCCCACTGTGGCCCCTCTGGTGATGGGCCAATGGAGCCTGGGGCCTGGCTGAAGCTCCTCATGACCACCTCCCTCCGTGCCCAGGGCCAGCATTTCATGGAGGCTGGGGACCCCTGAGACTCCCTGGGGGCCAGGGTCCCAGCCTCCCTGCTCTCACCAGCTTTGGCTTCTGAGTCCAGAGCTAGGACTGGGGCTGGCTGGGGTCTGCTCTTCCCACGCCCCCTCTCTAAGACATCCTTCAGGGGCCCAGTCTGTGCAGTGTGTGATGGGGGCAGCTCCCGGAGGAAACGGAGCCCCTGGGAGCCTGCAGGGAGGCTACCGGCTGCATCCACAGCATCCCACACGCTCACCACAGTGCCCAGGCAGGCTCTGCCTCCTGAGCTGTGGCCCACCTGCCACCGCCAGCTGCCCGGGCCCCTCCCCAGTGAGCCAGGTGACCCTACACCTTGTTGCCAGGGCCTGGTGTCCTGTTCCACTGTGTGGACTGGGGCCTGGTGAGCTGGTGACTTGGCTCGGATGCCTCCTGCCTTCACCTGCACCTCTACTTCTCTGCCAGGACTCTGAGGGGTGAAGTGTATCAGGAGGGGTGTAGATGCCCCCTGTGCTTTGCTCCTACCCAGGAGGGCAGCACCTGGCCTGTGAGGCTCCCTTCCTTTTCCTCGGGGGGCTTCCGGGGTGGCATTACCATGCTGCTGTCCCAAGGCCCCTCCACTGGTCACCTCACCACGTGTGTTGGGTGGAGGTGCGGCTGTGGCAGCCAGACCTCTACCTCCCAGGAGTTCCTGATTTTGTGTCTCTGCTGCCGCCAGGCTCCCCTGGCCACATCCTGGAGGCTCTGACTTCCCCTGCCCTGAGCTGGGCCCCTTGATGCCACCACTGACCTTGGACTTTGGGGGCAGGGCTGGCCCAGTTCCTCCCACCTGAGAAGTCTGGGTCCGAGGGGCTGTGGACGCTGGTCCTGCTGCCTCCTGGTCCTGCCCAGAGCCAAACCAGTGCAAGGCCAGCGCGGTGGCGGCCACCACAGCCAGTGCCAGCAGGGTCAGCACGGCGCCATCCCAGTCGTCGTCCCCGTCCCCGTCCCAGCCCCAGCTGGGGCCGTCAGCCTCTGAGGCGCCCTGGATCATGGTCTGGGCCGCAGATCCAGCGTGAGGAGCCAGGCAAGAGACTGGAGGCCGGGAGCTCTGCATGCACCACTCCTGATTCAGGCCTGGGCGCCACCGGGGCTCTTTCCATGCAGATGGCATCAGTGACGCACCCTGCCCCGCCCAGAGGGCTGCCCAGTTAAGGTGGACCTGGGCTGGGGCAGTGCTCTGCTGTTCTGGGAGGGGTGGGTCTCTGTGTCTGTGCCTGGGCTTGGGGGTTTGTCAGGAGGCCCCCCGCTGGAGGTGTCAGGAGACAACACAGTCGACAGCAGCTCCAGGAGCTCAGGCCCCCCACCAAGCTCCTGCCCCTTCTCTTTTTCCGTAGGTTCTAGTGGCAAATGGCAGTGTTTCTCAACACTGTTCGGGCATCCCAGCCAACTGGCTTCTGCCTAACAGACCTCACACCACCAAGCTTGTCCCCCACCCACCGTGTCCCTCCTCTGAGCTTGGGTCCAGCCTCAGGGGGCTCTGGCAGGGAAGAGTTACCCACAGGAAGATGTTATCTGTAGTTTCAGCAACATGATGCAGCCCTGATGAAATTACCAGAAACCTGAGAAGACCATTCCACTGTGAGCTAACAGGAGAGGAGGGGGCTGGTCTCCCTGAGGAGGGAGCGCAGGGGTCAGGGGCATCGGTCCTGCCCAGCACAGGGATGGGCTGCTGAGGAAGTTGTGCCCTCCCGTCACCACACGTGTGAAGTGGAGGCTAGCACTGTTCCCTCCCAGGGTCCACAGCAGAGCCCGAGAGGCCAAGGCTGAGCCTCCCACACCCTCGTCCAGCAGCCTCTTGACCTTCTTACCCCGAGTTCAGCAGAGATATCAAGAGTAAAAAATGAACGAAATAAAGAAAATCCAAAAGTTGTTTTTCCCTCCTCATTGGCCTGGCCTCTTGGGCCTCCCCCTGTGCCCTCTGGAAAGTCTTGACTGCCAGGTGCCACTCACACCGGCTCCCATTGCCATCACTGGGCCCTGTGGAAAGCCTGGGAGTCATCCTGGGCGTCTCATCTCAGTTCTCGGCCTTCCCTCATCCAAACCCCTCCTCGCCAGGACTCGGGCCCCTCCAGGCCTGTGTGCAGATGCTTCTGGGGTGCATACGCCTGGCCTCCTCTCAGTGCTTGGTTTCCCAGGGACAAGCCGTGTCTCCTGCATCTTCTTCTCACTTAAGCTGAGGAGTAAGTCAGTCTTGGGACAGATGCCAGATAGGGCCCAGACATGAAAAAGAGCCTGGAGTTCCTGGGACAGAGGCAGGCCCCCCACAACACATGCTTGTTTCTTCTTCTGGGGCACAGATGCTCCCTGACTCAGGCAGCAGGCTGGCCAAGGCACACCCCTGGCTCCCAGCCTGGGCTCTGCTTATCCTCAGGTATCTCGCCTACCTGCTCCTCCCAACACCCCCTGCCCAGTGTATCAGATGGCAGTAAAGGATGTAAGGGGCCCTGCCTTAAGGTGGACCTCAAGCTGGAGGCCAGCTTTCTGGACGCTGCCCTGATTCTGTCCCTGTCCCAGGCTCTGCCTCCTGGTTAAGTTTGGGATCCAAAGACCTTGAGAGGATGGAGATGCACCTCCCCATTGGCCATGTGTCTCCCTGCAGCATCACCTGTCTGAGTGCCAGGCTGCTGTCAGAGAGCAGAAGGGTCCACTTGAGATAGCTTAGGACATCTTGGTGGGGAGATCACCCTAACCAGGTTCACAAGATGCAAGGACCGTGATGGGTCCTAGAGACACACAGGTGACCAAGGAAGGGTCTAGTCCCCTTCTCTACGGAGAGAAAACACCTTACCTTGTCAAAACCCAGACTGAGGGCAACCTCAGCCCTGCATGGAGAAACTCACTACTGGGAAGGTGACTAGAGACATGTTACCTCCTGAAATAGTGGGACTTCTGCCGTCTTAACTTTCCAGAGAGAGTAAAAATGTGGCACTGCTGGAAAGGTGACAGAACTTCAGAAGCACACAGGATCACCCACGGAAACTGTGAGACATAAGTAATTGTCCTGGTTATGCTATGATGGCATAAATATCACAAATTCCCATCGAGGTAAAAATTAAAATCAAGAAAGTGGGTCCCGGGAACGTCCAAACTTTAGTGGCCTCCTTAGAGCTCCTTTTCCAATTGCCTGCTGAGGCAGGAATCCTGTTCCAGTCTATACAAGGAAGAGAGAGGGACCTGTGCCTATGTACCTGAAGATCCTGTTTCCTCAGAGACAACACAGGCAGAGCAGGAGTGGAGGCAGTCACCTGCCTGCCAGCAGCCAACACCAATGGACACTGGGGGCCTGGGAGGTGGGGAAATCCACCCACATATGAGCTGGTCCACTGCAGCACCCACAAGAAAAAGAACCCCCACTGCCTGGTCACTGAGCCCCAACAAAGCTGGGTGGTACCCTGGCCCCCACTGTGCCCTTCCTGAAACATATACTGGAGGAAAAGCCTAGTGAAATGAAGACATAATTCCACGTGGAATGCTAAATACAAGTGAACAGCTGACATAAATAAGACGATAGACAGCAGTAAACCCCGCCTAATGTAGAGTTTCTCTATTGGAATTTTTTAAAGGTAGGAAATACATAATCAGAAATGATATAAAACAAGGACTATAATATATAATCATATTTATGCTAAAAGCATATATTATTTTTATATATATGTTAACAAATCTAGAATAATGTTTAAGGCTTAAAAAATATAAATCTCAGATTTAATAATTACATCCAACAGGGAATACCGCTTAAGGAATCTGGCTGACGTGGGAAAAGGCTTATGCAAAAACGTTTTTAAAAAGGACAATGCAATATAATTTATAATGGAAAAAAATTAGAACATGTAAGCATTCAACAATATGGGAATGATTAGGAAAACATGCTCATGACTTTAAAGTGTGGTATTGAAAATGAATTTAAATAGTTATTAATAATGTGGCTGAAAAGCTCAATACAACTATTAACAGGGAGTCTTAGAAGAGGCATAAAATAAAATATTTAAATAATGACAAAGTATAAAAAGGGAGAGAGAAGAAAGAAAGTATAATGAAGAGTCACCTCTATTCCAAGAATAGTCACTGCCTAAATCTTGAGACCAGTTACTAAATTCAGCTCAAATGTAAGTTTAAATTTTTTTAGTTCTAAGTTGATGCCACAATTTACAACATTCAGGGATTGGAAAACTTAATGTCATAAAGATGACAACTGATGAATTACAATTCAGAGATTCAAAAGACTCAATGCATCTCAAGCAGAAATAAAAGGAAATGAATACCAAGACACAAAACAAGTGAAGCACAGAAATCACAAAAGACAGAAAATCAAAGCAACCACAGAAAAAGGCAGGTTACCTAAAAGAAAGACAGCCTTACAGCTGACTTCTCAATGACAAAAAAAATGGAGGCCAGAAGATGACGCAACGAAACTTCCGATGCGCTGAAAGACAATAATTGCCAACCTAAAATTCTATACTTAAAACAATATCTTTCAAAAATGAGGCAACATAAAAACATTTTCAGACAAACACTAAGAATCTTCACTAAAGGAAATTCTAAACTATGTATTTCAGCATAAAGAAAATCATACCAGATGAAAGGATTAAGACTGATGTAACAACAGATGGGCAACCACAGCAGTGAGAATGGTAAGAAAGTGAGTGAATCTAAACGAACATTGACTCTACAAATCATGTAGAATTAAAAAAAATATATAATCAATGAAACCAAAGTTGTTTCTTTGCAAAGATCAACAAAATTAACAAACTTTTAGCTAGACTGACCAAGAAAAAAACGGAAAAGACAAAAATGCAGTTGACACTCAAACAACACAGGGGTTAGGGGAACTCACCTCTGTGCAATCAAAATTCCACACGTAATTTTGACTCCCCAAAACAGAAGACAACTACTGATAGCCTACTATTCACCGGAAGCCTTACCAATAAGACAAAGTCAATGAACACATCTTTTATGCTACATATTATATACTGTATTCTTACAATAAAGTATCTACAGAAAATATTATACAGAAAACCCTAAGGAAGACAAAATACATCCAAAATTCTGTACTGTATCAATATCATTAGTTTATCATGAGTTTGTGTCATCATCTGCTTACAAGATGAGTCGTTTCTGTCAGTACTTACATCAGTATTGTGTTAGACGATACAAACACTGTCGGTGTTACACATATTACTAAAACTAGACATGACAAATGAGAAGATAATATGAAAATAAATTCACACTTACTTACGGGTGTAACAGTTCATGCACTGATGATGAAGCAGCAGTCATACAACGGCTTCATGGTCGCCTGGTGTCATCGACACCACTGCTTCACGGCAGCCCAGTCTGTACACTGATGAACGAGTCGTTATAAAACCTCTAAGGCTTGCAACATCAGTCATATTCATAACGCAGCCCTGGGAATCTTGTTACAGGCTTGAAAGCCACTTACCTGTGAGGTCAGGCTGACAAACAATTTCTCCCAATATGCGAGAGAGAGAGAGGAATGCTATATGGTAATGTAATTCTTTAAAAGCAAAGTTATAAAACAGTAAGAAAAGTAACATTACTAATTTTATGTAGAATATCACTCTCCCTATACCTATTTACAGATAGACAAATATCTACATATATTTTATGCATTCATGACATAACTCACTTCCCACTGCTATACTGTCCATAGCTCAAAGAATCTCAGATTTCAAAGAACTGCAATCTGTTAGTAGGAAAGTTAAATTTCAGAACTGATTCACACAGTTTACTATGTTTGAATCATGCTTTGAGTTTGAAATACAAAGCTTAGGATATGTTTAAATTATAAACTGTATGCAACATAAGGTCAGCCAGGTTCTAGAGGAACTAAGATACAAGCAAACCAGGCCCACCAAGAAGCCAGTGTTCCTGGACTTTTAGAAAAGAGCATGTGAGTTCTATAAATATCCTAAAATGTCTTTTATATGGCCTAGCTCTGACAAATGTTTGAGTTTACCTGGCTCTATGAAAGTGGATTCTCTTTTCAGAATTTCTTATCAAAGGTGAAAGGCACTTGAAATGTAAATCCTAGAATAAATAAAACAA